AGAGAACTGAGGGAACGGGACATACATAGACAGGAGAAAAGATCAGTCAGGGAGATAGTGACAGACTCCGCTGTGGCAATAAAGAGAGAGCGAACAGGTACTAGACGGACGATATGAAGAGGATTGGAACACATGATAAAAAGGTTTAGCGAGCTGAGGAAGGAGGCGATGGACTACAGGCAGATTTTGGGCAAGAAATGGATGAGTGGGGTGATATTGGGAAGAGGAGCCACGAGTGTGGAGATGAATTTTTCTAGTTATCGCGGTTTTTGAGTTATAAACACAACTTAGATTTTTTTAAATCCTATATTTTATTTTTTTATTGAACTAGAATTTTTTCAAGGTTTTCAATGATATATAAATACTCTTATACCTTTATAATCAACCTCGAAATTTAAAGAAACGCATTATTTTATAAAGTAGGCTATGATAAATTAAGTGATCGCGTTGCTAGGATACCGGAATATATAAAGCAAATTTTGTTAATTATTATCAAATTGAATTTTGAATATTTTACCAGCACAGGAATCTATAAACCTAGCCCAAATTGCACAATCTTCATTAATAAATCGTACCTTTCACAATCTACCCAACATTGTCCAACGTTCATAATTTCCCCCAACATTTCTTATAAATCTAATCCATTTGAATTCAAAAATAGGATCCAGCAATGATATTGTGCCCACTTATATGGATATCCATGGAAACGTGATGGTTGAAAGATCAACTATTGAGACTACAAGCTATATTGTGACATATTATATCCATAAATATAAACAAAATAATAGTTCCAGTTCTATTCTGCTTTTATTTTTTATGCAATAAATATAAATTTGATTTTCGCACTTGCTAGTTTTAATTTTTCCTTACCCCAGTTTCAAACCAAGCCGGTAAAACAGTATTAATTGGCATTAGTTCGGCTATTCAATAAGAGATGGTACAATTATTTTTGTTAGCCAAGTTCCAAACCAACCGAATTTCAAAATTAATTTCGATTAGTTCTATAATCAAATAATAGATGGCGCCACTTTACAAAATAATTGATGGTTCGAAACTCGGCTAATGAAAAAATTATACTGGGCGGTTCAAATAAAAAGGCAATTTAAAAAAAAAGTCGTCTAGAAAAATCGTACTTTTAATTTTTGTTTCAGCCACCCGGTATAAGTTTTTCATTAGTCAAGTTTCGAACCAATGCAATTCTGACAATAGTTCGATATGTGAATAATAGATGGCGCCACTATACAAAATAATTGATGGTTCGAAACTCGACTAATGAAAAAATTATACCGGGTGGCTCTAATAAAAGACCGATTTAAGAAAAATATCGCTCCGAAAAATTGATGTTTCAATTTTTGCATGGAACACCCGGTATAGTTTTTTCGTTAGCGGAGTTTCGAACCAATCAAGTATCACTAGTAGTTCGATAACTATATAATAGATGGCGCCACATTAGAAATAAACGATGGTTTGAAACTTGGCTAAGGAAAAAACTATACCGGGTGATCCAAATAAAAAGTCGTTTTTAAAAAATGTTGTCCGGAAAAAATCGGATTTTCAATTTTCGCATGGATCACCCGGTATAATTTTTTCATTAGCCGAGTTTCGAACCAATCCAATTTTGTCGTTAGTTGCGCATGTGATTGATAGATGGAGCTACTTGATAAATAAGCGTTGGTTCGAAACTCGGCTAATGAAAAAATTATACCGGGTGGCCGAAATAAATGAAAAATATCGCTCCGAAAAATCGAAGTTTCAATTTTTGTTTGAGACACCCGGTATACTTTTTTCGGTAGCGGAGTTTCAAACCAATCCAATTTTACTAATACTTCGGTGATTAAATAATAGATGGCGCCACATTTGAAATAATTGATGGTTCGAAACTCGGCTAATAAAAAAAATTATACCGGGTGATCCAAATAAAAAGTCGTTTTTAAAAAATATTGTACCGAAAAATCGGATTTTCAATTTTCGCATGGATCACCCGGTATAATTTTTTTCGTTAGCCGAGTTTCGAACCAATCCAATTTTGTCGTTAGTCGCGCATCTGATTGATAGATGGCGCTACCTAATAAATAAGCGATGGTTCGAAACTCGGCTAATGAAAAATTATACCGGGTGGCCGAAAAAAATGAAAAATATCGCTCCGAAAAATCGGAGTTTCAATTTTTGAATGAGACACCCGGTATACTTTTTTCGGTAACGGAGTTTCAAACCAATCAAATTTTACTAATACTTCGGTAACTAAATAATAGATGGCGCCACATTTGAAATAATTGATGGTTCGAAACTCGGCTAATAAAAAAAATTATACCGGGTGATCCAAACAAAAAAGTAGTTTTTAAAAAACATCGTGCCGAAAAATCTTATTTTCAATTTTTGCATGGGACACCCGGTATAGTTTTTTCATTAGCATAGTTTCGAACCAATCAAATTTCACCAGTAGTGTGATAACTAAATAATAGATGGCGCCTTAGTTGAAATAACCGATGGTTCGAAATTCGGCTAATGAAAAAATTATACCGGGTGGTTCAAATAAAACGTTATTTTTAAAAGATAAATTGAATTTCTAATTTTTGTTTATAATTTATTATTAGTTAAGTTTCGAACCAACCCAATTTTCACTATAGTTCCGCTCGTGAATAATAGATGGCGCTATTTTTCAAATAAGCGTTGGTTCAAAACTCCACTAATTCAAAAATTGTGATTTTAAACAAATAGGGAATTAAAAAAAAATAGAATGTTGTTAAAACAATTTTATTTATTCAATTCCTTGCATTTTCACGAGTTTCTTTAACAACTTTATCAAAAGGCGTGAACTCAAAATGGGGTTCTTCAGCAAGTTGTTTTATTGATACTTCAGAAGATTCATCAACTAAAGGTAATTAATAGGATTTTTTTATGTTACAAATACAGCAATTTTCCAACGCGGAACACTTCAATGTGTAGAAAAATATAATATAATATAATCCATAATAATTAATTACTTAATGACACGAGATTTATTTAAATTTAATTTGATTAAAATGACTAAATTATAACATATTAAAATTAAAGTTGAGTTCTTGAATCAGAGATGGCGCCACATCAAACGTCACTTCGCAATTTACCTTCAAAATCTAAAAAAAATTACTTATAAATCGAAATTTTAACTAATTATTTATTTACCATGAATAAAATCGATTTGATTAGAATGAATATTTTTAATATCCACCATCAAATCCTCAAACTTTTTTACATCACCCTTCAAAAATAACGCTTTACACTGCAATAATTGCGATCTCAAATGATCCTCTTCTAATCGAAGGGCTAAATCGGTGTCTTTTATAGCATCATCATACATCTTTAAATTAATCAAAGTTAAGGCTCTGTTATTATACAACGTAACGTTATCTTTAATTTGTTCTATCGCTTTGTTATAACAATTCAAAGCCTTTTCAAACTCCCCCCTTCTAAAAGCCAACCCAGCTTGCTTTTTAAACGTCTCCATCTTTTCTTTACGCACCAAACGATCTTTATACCGTTTATCAGCATCTTTCGAGACCGAAGCCATAAAAGCCTCTTGAGACATCGTATTTTCATCTTTAGGTTCTTCAAGCGCTTTTTTGTTAATCAACGTTCGTTCACTTTTTATCTTTAAAATCGCAGTTTCTTCATCGATATTCTCCAAAACGTCTTCGTTCATGTGTTTTAGGTAATTATCGGCTTCTAAAATTCCCATTTTTTGTTCAGATCGATCGGTGGCCGATAATTTTTTAACGATTCTTCCAACTTCATTTACACGGTGCATGAAGTTATTAAATTCTTCGTTTAAGTGGTGATCTTCGGAGTTTTTTAATAATTGCTCCATTTTTTTTGTTTGAATGAAATTTGTATTAATTTTTAGGTTAGGATTTGTTTTGAATTGATTGATTGGAGGGTTGCTTAGCAACGATTTTTTTTTTATTTTTAAATTTATTTATTTACAACTTTTAATTAGATTTATGTATAAATGTATAAAATAATCGATTATAAAGAGATTCGGACGGATATTTATAATAATTAACTTTAAAAATGATTAAAAATTAGGACGGGAATGTTTCGTTGGGTTTATAGGTTATGTTAAACGTCAAAATTGTCAAAATGAAGAAACATAACCTAAAAGGATCTTTTTTTTTTGTTGGACGGATTATTATAATTTGTTTTATAATAAGGGTTATTTTTAGAGATTCTTAAATTGGAATTGTCGAAACCGTACTATACCTTGTGGCAGTCGTTGTACTCGTGCTGTTATTATCCGAAGTTTCGGTAAAAAACGAGATCGATCTTGACGGTCCGGGACGGTTTGTTGCTAAATTAATGTCGTCGGTTAAACAGGCATCGTTGAAACCGTGCTGTGGGGTGTCGTCGGACGAGAGCCCGCCAGCGAAGGGACGGTCGATGCATTCAGAGATTGCATCGTTCCCATCTTTTTGTATCAAATCATGATTAAACAATCAAATAATAAACAAAAATGTTGGAAAGTGTGTTAAAAAGTGGATGAAAAAGTGTTTTTTTGCATATTAATAAGAAAAAAAATAATAAAATAAGAAATTCAAGAATCACCAAGTCGCTTAAAAATCGATAATTTTTATTTTAATCGATCGGAAATCACTCAAGTAATCCGTTACAAATCAAAAAAAAGTGCGGAAAAGTGTAAAACTTACAAAAAAATTGCTTTAAAGTTTTGACGTGACGTCATCAACCGTGCTAACCATATACAGTGTGTTACAATTGGTACGTACTGTATATAGTTGTGTAATTGGTATTAATATAACAACAGATAACGCAGCAAATATAAAAGTAGCTGTAAATTTAAGAAATTGGGAACATATTTCTTGTAATTGAGGACCTTAGGATGAAAGTAAAAAGTATTGTAAAACATTTCAAAGAAAAGCTACATTTTATGTTTAAAAGAATTTTGGAATTAAAAGATGCGGTATCATCCTGCATAGATTCTCTCCTTAATCCNTGATTAAAATGACTAAATTATAACATATTAAAATTAAAGTTGAGTTCTTGAATCAGAGATGGCGCCACATCAAACGTCACTTCGCAATTTACCTTCAAAATCTAAAAAAAATTACTTATAAATCGAAATTTTAACAAATTATTTATTTACCTTGAATAAAATCGATTTGATTAGAATGAATATTTTTAACATCCACCATCAAATCCTCAAACTTTTTTACATCACCCTTCAAAAATAACGCTTTACACTGCAATAATTGCGATCTCAAATGATCCTCTTCTAATCGAAGGGCTAAATCGGTGTCTTTTATAGCATCATCATACATCTTTAAATTAATCAAAGTTAAGGCTCTGTTATTATACAACGTAACGTTATCTTTAATTTGTTCTATCGCTTTGTTATAACAATTCAAAGCCTTTTCAAACTCCCCCCTTCTAAAAGCCAACCCAGCTTGCTTTTTAAACGTCTCCATCTTTTCTTTACGCACCAAACGATCTTTATACCGTTTATCAGCATCTTTCGAGACCGAAGCCATAAAAGCCTCTTGAGACATCGTATTTTCATCTTTAGGTTCTTCAAGCGCTTTTTTGTTAATCAACGTTCGTTCACTTTTTATCTTTAAAATCGCAGTTTCTTCATCGATATTCTCCAAAACGTCTTCGTTCATGTGTTTTAGGTAATTATCGGCTTCTAAAATTCCCATTTTTTGTTCAGATCGATCGGTGGCCGATAATTTTTTAACGATTCTTCCAACTTCATTTACACGGTGCATGAAGTTATTAAATTCTTCGTTTAAGTGGTGATCTTCGGAGTTTTTTAATAATTGCTCCATTTTTTTTGTTTGAATGAAATTTGTATTAATTTTTAGGTTAGGATTTGTTTTGAATTGATTGATTGGAGGGTTGCTTAGCAACGATTTTTTTTTTATTTTTAAATTTATTTATTTACAACTTTTAATTAGATTTATGTATAAATGTATAAAATAATCGATTATAAAGAGATTCGGACGGATATTTATAATAATTAACTTTAAAAATGATTAAAAATTAGGACGGGAATGTTTCGTTGGGTTTATAGGTTATGTTAAACGTCAAAATTGTCAAAATGAAGAAACATAACCTAAAAGGATCTTTTTTTTTTGTTGGACGGATTATTATAATTTGTTTTATAATAAGGGTTATTTTTAGAGATTCTTAAATTGGAATTGTCGAAACCGTACTATACCTTGTGGCAGTCGTTGTACTCGTGCTGTTATTATCCGAAGTTTCGGTAAAAAACGAGATCGATCTTGACGGTCCGGGACGGTTTGTTGCTAAATTAATGTCGTCGGTTAAACAGGCATCGTTGAAACCGTGCTGTGGGGTGTCGTCGGACGAGAGCCCGCCAGCGAAGGGACGGTCGATGCATTCAGAGATTGCATCGTTCCCATCTTTTTGTATCAAATCATGATTAAACAATCAAATAATAAACAAAAATGTTGGAAAGTGTGTTAAAAAGTGGATGAAAAAGTGTTTTTTTGCATATTAATAAGAAAAAAAATAATAAAATAAGAAATTCAAGAATCACCAAGTCGCTTAAAAATCGATAATTTTTATTTTAATCGATCGGAAATCACTCAAGTAATCCGTTACAAATCAAAAAAAAGTGCGGAAAAGTGTAAAACTTACAAAAAAATTGCTTTAAAGTTTTGACGTGACGTCATCAACCGTGCTAACCATATACAGTGTGTTACAATTGGTACGTACTGTATATAGTTGTGTAATTGGTATTAATATAACAACAGATAACGCAGCAAATATAAAAGTAGCTGTAAATTTAAGAAATTGGGAACATATTTCTTGTAATTGAGGACCTTAGGATGAAAGTAAAAAGTATTGTAAAACATTTCAAAGAAAAGCTACATTTTATGTTTAAAAGAATTTTGGAATTAAAAGATGCGGTATCATCCTGCATAGATTCTCTCCTTAATCCAGTACCCGGGCTGTTTAAGTTGTTGAAACCATTTGAACAGCTTACTAAACAGTTTAGTACAGAACATTTCGTGTCTTCATCAAAAATAGTAGTATTGATAAATGCAATTAAAAACAAAGTTTAGAATGACATCCAAAACGAAACATACAAAGATACCGCAATACACCAAATAGCAAAAATTTTTCAAAATTCTATTGAAGAACGTTTCAAAGACTTGCAAGTATTCCTGTTCAGCTCTAATGGATTCTAGATTTAAATCTAGAGTTTTATTTGAAGAGACCATAAAAATAGCGGAATTACAAATTACTAAGGAACTTCAGGATATGCAGCATTCTAACACCACTAATGCTGGCAGTTTTGAGCAATTGCGAAATGATGAGCGTGAAAAATCAGAGGAATCGGATCTACTTTGGACACATTTTGATAATGAAATATATAGAAGAACCGTTACTAAATAGAAAAGGTATTAAAAGGTACAAAAATAAATGTAGGGTTACGAGCGAACAAAAAAGTTCTGAGCAAACAAATTTTAGGGACACGCTGTATAGCATGGTTGCCGCCGCCCGATCAAAGTCAAAATTGGTTCAATGATTTTGCTTGATATTTGTTTACCCTGTACCAAATTTCAACGCTCTATCATAAATGGTATTGAAAATATTTAGAAAAATGTGTTAAAATTTCTGAACTTTGATGGCCCATATCTTGGCCATTAAGACTTTTATAATAATTTTTTTTCACGAATCGTCATCATTTTTGCTCTAGTATATGAGGTTAGTTTTATGCCCCGAGTCACCGGAACACCCTGTATACAGGCTGTCCAATTAGTGCGATGTCGGACGATATCGTAAGGAGATATAGTCCGATATCGCACTAATTGGACACCCTGTATAGAGAGCATCTAGTGTTCTATTAATAGTACATAATGTTCTGCCAGCAGCTTTCAGACTTCTGCCAGCTATAACTAATCTTCTGCAAGCAGGTTTCAATCTTCTATTGTCAATATTTTGACTTCCATTAGCAAAATTAAGAGTTTTATGTGCCATAATTTCAACATAGAGTGCACCTAATATTCCATAAACAGTATCTAATTTTCTGTCCAATAAAAATATAACGCTAAACAACATTTAAAACTACAACTAACACTAGACCGAGAACTAGAAACATTCAAGACGGCAAAACAATTTTTGTTCGATATTTCCTATTTATAAGTGACGAGGAATACGATGCAGTGCAAACTAAAATTGTTAGAAATTCTGTCTAACCAAAATAATGCAAAAATTCAATGAAAATTGGTTTTGCAGTCAAAAAGAAAGTGCCACAATGCATTTTTTTCATATTTGATGTATTAGAGATAATGAGTAATCTGCTGCAATTCAAAATTAAATTGATTAAAGATTCTGATCAACTCGAAATTTGCAAAAAAGTGACGAAAAACTAGTTTTGTAATGAAATTGGAAATGGCAGAAGTATTTTTGGTATTATTTGGCGTTTTAGACATGGTGAAAAATTTGCTGCAGCTTAAATTAAACTGATTAAAGAGTTTGCTCAATTCAAAATATTTTAAGAAAATTACTCAAAGAATTTGCTCAATTCAAAATATGCAAAAAATCATGAAAAACTAGTTTTGTAATGAAATAGAAAATGGCAGAAGTACTTTTTGTATTATTTGGTATTTCAGACATAATGAGAAATTTGCTGCAGTTCAAATTAACCTGATTAAATATGTTGATCAATCCGAAATTTGCAAAAAAAAATCATGAAAAACTAGTTTTGTAATGAAACTGCAAATGGCAGAATTATTTTTGGTATTATTTGGCGTTTTAGACATGGTGAGAAATCTGCTGCAGTTCAAATTAAACTGATTAAAGATTCTGCTCAACCAACAATTTGCAAAAAAAACATGGAAAATTAGTTTTCTAATGAGATAGGAAATGATAGAACTCTCAACATTTTTCGCAATGTTTTACGGAGATAATAAGCAATAATACTTCCTATTTCATTTAGATTTTGACGAAATCTTCCTTTTGACTTAACATTATTTAATGACTTTCTCCCCATTGAATATTGAATTCAATTTTTGGCCATCCTGTATAAGATACTCTAATACAACAAATGACAATCTATTTGAAAGCATCTGAAGAGTAATCGTGCCAATTTATACAACATATTTTTTTTATGTACAATTAAAAGGTGTAATAAAAACTATAGCATTTCATTTAAAATAACAATGTTATAGTCTATTTCCGGTAGACCGGAAGTGGCAGCCATCTTGAAAATATTTTAGATTGAAAGTTCTAAATGAACAGGCTACCAAAATTTCAAAACTGTACGAATAGTGGAACCTAAAAAAGTTCTAGTAAACCAGTTACGTGAGACACCCTGTATATATTTTTAATATACGTATAGAAAAAAAAATATTTATTGTTACCGTCGCACACAGGCGAATTTTTTAAAAATCTTGGCCAAAATTGCAAAAATTTAAGGAATAAGATTGAAAATGCAATTATTGCTATTTGATTAAGTAAACCCCAAGGTGCCTTGAAACACCTTCTTTATAATTATTGTAACAATCGCCACCAAAATATTTTAGTTGTCNATTAAAAAAAAATCGTCGATTTTTAAGCAATATGATCATTCTTGAATTTTTCCTAAAAAAGCAGTGACCATGTTAGCGAATTCTCTCAACATAAATCTTACCCATTATTTGCTATCTTTCTCTAAGCTAGATTTAATAAATTAATTAATTTTAATAAAAGCATAGAAACGTTAATAACTTTTTAATTACAATAAAGGTAAGAAAATTTACCCGCAAATTAGCCAAATCCTCCAATTTCGAAATATCGCTCAATTCGATGTAAAACGAATAAACCAACAACCATCCATAAACGGATAACAAAAAGAAAGTGATCCATAGAATGACCATAAAAATGTTGTAGGCGAATATTAAGTCGTTTACAAACGCAAAGAATAAAAAGGCCAAAAATCGGAGAATTGTAAAGCTTAAAAACGCCACTAACCAAGGAACCATTCGTTTTTCATATTCCTAAAAAAAAAATAACCTCAAATTTTATAAAACAACAAAAATTTGGGATAAAAACCTGTCTTAAAGCAACAATTAACATAATGCTGGTTATAAAAACTGCAATTCCAAATAAAACGGAAAAAACGGCAAACATATTCAATGCATTTCTCACTAAAAATGAATCAAATTAATTTTTGACACTCAACATAACCTCAATCTCACCATGTCTATTTCCAACATAAACGAATTCGTACGAAATCAAGTAATAACCATAATGTGTTGATCCAGGGGCTGCCATCGCATAACAATAAATATCGAATATCCCAGTAACGATCGTAAAAATCGATAAAAGCTAAAAAATTCAAAAAAAATTTTTTAGGTTATGTTAACCCATTTCGATATTTTCAACAATTTATTAAACTTACCAGCGAAAAAACCGCTGTAACCATACAGCTACGCTGCACATCTAAGAAAATCGATTTTTCTATGATCGGTTTATGATACCAAGGCACTTTTAGCGATTTTATGCTGCGACTGCTTCGTAAATTTGCGCTACTTCTTGTGGTGACGTGCGAATAAACGCTCGGAGTTCCGTGGCTTGGCGATTTCATTCCGTAACTCATTTTTGATTAAATCTTTATAAAATAAAAAAATTAAAGTTATTAAGAAGTTATTAAAACGATGATTCAGGTTTTGGGTGTAAACAACGAAGGTGTGGTTATAAATTGAAACGTCAACTGTCAAAATTTTAATGATTGAATATTTAATTAATTTGTTTTTAAATAATTAATTTTCGAATGATTTTTGATTTATTTTGGTGCCTTTTTAATGATAAAATAAAGATTTGAAATTAATTCTTTTAATAAAAAAGAAATTAAAATTTATCTAAGTAACGCCATCTTACGTGTACGTTAGCAACTAAATATGTAAACAATAATATGGGTCAAAATTTTAATTAGTGAATCTATTTTTGAACAATTGATTTTCAAATGATTTTTGATTTATTTTAATGCCTCGTTGATGTTAAAATAAAGATTTTAAATTAATTTTTTATTTGAAAATAGTTTATTTAATAGCACCATCTTACAGATTCCATCACAACTGAATATGGAAACAACTCATAAGGGGTCAAAATCTTAATGATTGAATATTTAATTAATTTATTTTTAAATAATTGATTTACGAATGATTTTTGATTTATTTTGGAGCCTTTTTAAAGCTAAAATAAAGATTTTAAATTAATCTTTTATTTAAAAAAAAATTAAAAATTAATGTAAGTAGCCATCTTACGGATACTTTGATAACTAAATATGTAAACAATGACGCCTATAAAGGTGAAATTTTAATTATTGGATATTTAATTAATTCATTTTTAAATAATTGATTTTCGAATGATTTTTGATTTATTTTGGTGTCTTTTTGATGTTAAAATAAAGATTTTAAATTAATTTTTTTTATTTACAAAAAATTAATGTAACTAGCACCATCTTACGGATACTTTGATAACTCAATACGTAAACAATGACGCATATATGGGTCAAAATTTTAATTACTATATATTTAATTAATTTATTTTTAAACAATTGATTTTTGAATTATTCTTGATTCATTTTAATGTCTCGTTGATGGTAAAATGAAGATTTTAAATTCATCTTTTATTTAAAAATAATTTATTTAATAGCACCATCTTACAGATTCCTTCACAACTGAATATGTAAACAACTCCTAAGGGTCAAAATTTTAATGATTGAATATTTAATTAATTTATTTTTAAATAATTGATTTTCGAATGATTTTTGATTTATTTTGGTGCCTTTTCAAAGCTAAAATAAAGNAATAAAATCGCAGTATATCATAAAATACTTCATCCTTGTTAATTGTATAGATATTTTTTAATTTCCACCAATTTTGAAGTAAAAAAATTGACAAAAATATCATTTTGGCCAAGATTTTTAACTAATTCGCTTCTGTGCGTCGTAAAGATAATTGAAAATCGGTTAAAATGAGCCCAAACTCGGCTAATTTACCTCAAAAAACAACCAAGATATTGCGATTTATTTATAAAAAAATTGAATATCGTTTCAAAATGGCCGTTTTTTTTTTATTTTTAATCTCGTTAATTGGGTTGTTTCTAAAGATAATTATATCGTGTTTGGGTTTATTTAAAAGCATTTTTAATCCTCTTTAAGATGATTTAGGTTATAAATCATTTTTATTATTACCATCTTAAAGATAATTAAAAATCGATTAAAATGAGCCCAAACTCGGCTAATTTATCTCAAAAAATAACGAAGATACCGCGATTTTATTAAAAAAAAATTGAAAATCGATTCAAAATGGCCGATTTTTTTATTATTAATCAGGTTATCTCGGTTGTTTTTAAAGATAATTATGTCGTGTTTGGGCTCATTTTAAATTATTTTTATCCTCATTAAGATGATTTAGGTTAAAAATCATTTTTTTTATTACCATCTTAAAGATAATTAAAAATCGTTTAAAATGAGCCCAAACTCGGCTAATTTATCTCAAAAAATAACGAAGATATCGCGATTAATCAGGTTATCTCGGTTGTTTTTTAAGATAATTATATCGTGTTTGGGGTCATTTTAAAGCATTTTTAATCCTCTTTAAGATGATTTAGGTTAAAAATCATTTTTATTATTACCATCTTAAAGATAATTAAAAATCGTTTAAAATAAGCCCAAACGCGGCTAATTTATCTCAAAAAACAACGAAGATATCGCGATTTTATTAAAAAAAAAATTGAAAATCGATTCAAAATGGCCGATTTTTTTATTATTAATCAGGTTATCTCGGTTGTTTTTAAAGATAATTATGTCGTGTTTGGGGTCATTTTAAATGATTTTTAATCCTCTTTAAGATGATTTAAGTTAAAAATCATTTTTAGTGTTACCATCTTAAAGATAATTAAAAATCGTTTAAAATGAGCCCAAACTCGGCTAATTTATCTCAAAAAATAACAAAGATATCGCGATTTTATTAAAAAAAAAATTGAAAATCGATTCAAAATGGCAGATTTTTTTATTATTATTTAGGTTATCTTGGTTGTTTTTTAAGATAATTGTATCGTGTTTGGGGTCATTTTAAAGCATTTTTAATCCTCTTTAAGATGATTTAAGTTAAAAATCATTTTTAGTGTTACCATCTTAAAGATAATTAAAAATCGTTTAAAATGAGTCCAAACTCGGCTAATTTATCTCAAAAAATAAGCGAGATATCGCGATTTTATTAAAAAAAAATTGAAAATCGATTCAAAATGGCCGATTTTTTATTATTAATCAGGTTATCTTGGTTGTTTTTTAAAATAATTATATCGTGTTTGGGTTCAATTTAAAGCATTTTTAATCCTCTTTAAGATGATTTAGGTTAAAAATCATTTTTATTGTTACCATCTTAAAGATAATTAAAAATCGTTTAAAATGGGCCCAAACTCGGCTAATTTATCTCAAAAAACAACGAAGATATAGTGATTTTATTAAAAAAAAATTGAATATCGATTCAAAATGGCCGATTTTTTTTATTATTAATCAGGTTATCTTGGTTGTTTTTAAAGATAATTGTATCGTGTTTGGGGTCATTTTAAATGATTTTTAATCCTCTTTAAGATGATTTAGGTTAAAAATCATTTTTATTATTACCACCTTAAAGATAATTGAAAATCGTTTAAAATGAGCCCAAACTCGGCTAATTTATCTCAAAAAATAACGAAAATATCGTGATTTTATAAAAAAAAAATTGAAAATCGATTCAAAATGGCTGATTTTTTTATTATTAATTAGGTTATCTCGGTTGTTTTTTAAGATAATTATATCGTGTTTGGGTTCATTTTAAAGCATTTTTAATCCTCTTTAAGATGATTTAGGTTAAAAATCATTTTTATTATTACCATATTAAAGATAATTGAAAATCGGTTAAAATGAGCCCAAACTTGGCTAATTTATCTCAAAAAATAAGCGAGATATCACGATTTTATTAAAAAAAAAAATTGAAAATCGATTCAAAATGGCCGATTTTTTTAAATTATTAATTAGGTTATCTTGGTTGTTTTTTAAGATAATTATGTCGTGTTTGGGTTTATTTTAAAGCATTTTTAATCCTCTTTAAGATGATTTAGGTTAAAAATCATTTTTATTATTATCATCTTAAAGATAATTAAAAATCGTTTAAAAAGAGCCCAAACTCGGCTAATTTATCTCAATAAATAACGAAGATATCGCGATTTTATTAAAAAAAAATTGAAAATCGATTCAAAATGGCCGATTTTTTTATTATTAATCAGGTTATCTTGGTTGTTTTTTAAGATAATTATATCGTGTTTGGGTTCATTTTAAAGCATTTTTAATCCTCTTTAAGATGATTTAGGTTAAAAATCATTTTTANAAAAAAGAATTCTTTTATAAGCTATTGTTTTATATTGAATAATACTTATTTTTTTACAAATATATTACAACTTTACACTGACGCACGTATAATATAAATCCATTTTTTCGAAGTGGCTAAAGGTTCTTCAAGGAAATAAAAAGTGATTTGGCGCACCTTTTTAAATCACGCAATTTTTTACTTTGTAACTTTTAAATTTAAAAATGAAATAGATCAAGGGGGCGTTGTACTTTGCGGTTTCGATTCGATTTCGATTTATCGGTGATAAAAGATGCGTTAAATCCTTTTTTTTGTTTTAAGTAGGCGATTTAAAAACGGTTTATATTTTGTAACGGATAGGTAGGTGGAAAATATATTTATATATATATAATATGCGTTTAGAAGTAATTTTTTATGCGTATTGTACAAATTAGAACCCCGAAAATTTTATTTTATTAATCTTTTTTTGGTTGGTATTTCTTTTGGTGTTGTCGCTTACAGTGTGCACTAAAAATTATTAATCATCTCTTTCATGGTACTTTTTTTTCGTTAAAATTGTCCTACCTACTTTGATCTATTAATATGCATTTTACAAATTAATTAAAAACGAATGGAATGCTTTTAATAAATATCTACTTTTCCTACTAAAAAAGAAAAAATTAAAAAAAAAAAAGAAATAAAACGAAGGCTCAGTCGGTCTCGGTACTAATAATAGTAAAAATCGTATAAAACAATTATTATTATGTATATTATTTATATTTATATATATTTTTAATATACGTATAGAAAAAAATTTTTTTTTATTGTTACCGTCGTAAAGATAATTGAAAATCGATTAAAATGAGTCCAAACTCGGCTAATTTATCTCAAAAAATAACCGAGATATAGACATTTAATTAAAAAAAAAATTGAAAATCGATTCAAAATGGCCGATTTTTTTTTATTTTTAATCGTGTCATTTGGGTTGTTTTTAAAGATAATTGTATCGTGTTTGGGGTCATTTTAAATGATTTTTAATCCTCTTTAAGATGATTTCGGTTAAAAATTATTTTTGTTATTACCGCCTTAAAGATAATTAAAAGACGATTAAAATGAGCCCAAACTCGGCTAATTTATCTGAATAAATAACGAAGATATCGCATTTTATTAAAAAAAAAATTGAATATCGATTCAAAATGGCCGATTTTTTTTAATTATTAATTAGGTTATCTCGGTTGTTTTTTAAGATAATTATATCGTGTTTGGGTTCATTTTAAAGCATTTTTAATCCTCTTTAAGATGATTTAGGTTAAAAATCATTTTTATTATTACCATCTTAAAGATAATTAAAAATCGTTAAAATGAGCCCAAACTCGGCTAATT